CAACAGCAGCTTCCTAACCAAGCCAACGATTACCTTAACAGAAATTTTGACAGCGATACCCACAGCCACAGCTACAACATCAACAGCAGCATCCACAACTACAACACCAACAGCTGCAGAAACGTTAACAAATATAGTTTCAGCAGTAGCAGTAGCAGCACCACTCCGAACCACACAAACAGAAAGGGCGGGCAAATAAGGTTTAACTTGCAACAATCCAAAATGTTGGAGAAGAAATTCTCTCAGCAAAAATATCTCATGCCAACAGAAAGAAAAAATGTGGCTAGGATATTGCAGCTTTCCGAGAGACAGGTTTTGTTAACAATGACGAATGATATTGTTGGCAATAATGTTTATGGTGATGGTTGATTAGATAGTGTAATGGTTAATTGCTTGATTCTGATGCCGCAGTTACCTGATTTGAATGCAAGACGATCCTCGACAATCACATCGTATTGAATCATGTGAAACTCGTATATGTTGTATGTTCGTTGTTGAAAAATCTGAGAATTAATCATGAAAAAGTGTAAAAAATTAAATTGAAACATTTTCATTAGAGATTTAACCAAGGGGTGGGCAGACTACGGCCCGCATGAGGCCCGCGAAGCTATTCTATGCGACCCACGGCCATGTTCACCAAATAAAAAGTCATCAGCCAGAAATAATGACCAAAAAAGAAGCCACAAATCTTAAAAATATTTTCCCCCGGGTCGAAAAATTTGCTAATTAAGTACATATGCGGCCATTCAAATGTAAAAAAAAAATTTTAATGCGGCCCTCACAGCAAAATGTTTGTCCACCCCTGATTTTACCCATTTATGTTATAATTCATATTATATATATATATATATATATATATATATATTTGTTTCACTTTTACACTTTTTAATGAAGTTAAAATTTCATTGAGTGAAATTCAACTTTCCCCGATAACTTCCTTCATTTGAAGGTCAAAACGTGGTTTCAGAATAGAAGAGCTAAGTGGAGAAGAATGAAGCAGGTTGTTGTTGTTGGTGTTGCCTGTTGTTGATGTAGTCGTTGTCGCGTGTGGTGTTTGTGGTGTTTTGTTGATGGTGGTGATGCTGTTGATGTTGTTGTTGTTGTTATCGGTGGTGTTTTTGTTGTTAATGTTATCATTTTTTGGTTTTTGTTGTTGTTGATGTTATTGTTGTCGATATTCGGCGCTGTCACGGTCGTTTTTGAGTTTTATAAACTCAAAATTTTGTAGAAATTCTATACATTGGGTCTCATGAGTTCTATGTTAAAAAGCGATGATGTGATGATGTTTTGATGTGATGATGTTTTGATGTGATGATGTTTTGATGTGATGATGTTTTGATGTGATGATGTTTTGATGTGATGATGGTGTGTTGATGTGTTGTTATGTGTTGATGTGATGATGTGATCACCGAACGCGTAATCGCAATCGTCATCAGCATCCATTTGTTTACGTAGGAGGAGCCAGACAGAGGACACAAACCAATGAGAATCGAAAACGAAATCACGTGCCAACACATCAGCCAGTCAAACTGCTCGAAAAGTCTTGAAGATGATGATGAGGAGGATGATGAGGATGAAAAAAGTTTTGCACATTTTGACGAAACAGCGGCTGATGATAATGATGATGATGACGTCAATGATGATGACGATAATGATGATGACCGTAACAATTATAATATGCTAAACTTATCTGCGCGCTCCTCTGCTCTGAACAAATTTCAGATGAACTGACTGATTAAGCTTAATTAGTTAATTAATTAAAATTAATTAGTGTGCGAATAATTAAAATTATTAATTGGTTTCTACGTAATGCAAGTTTCAGATTATCGCTAACTGGTGATTAGAACTGTACTGTACCGTTTGAATGTACAATTAATTTTAATCACGCAGGTCAGCAAACTTAAAATGAACTGAAAATTATTTCCTAAGTATTTATCAGATATATTAATTGAACCTAAACGCCCCGGTTTACGATCGTCTTCTTTTTCTCGCTTTTTCTTAACTCGTGGTAAACGCTCTTTTGCCAAATCTGCTTTTGCTGGTCCTTTTCTCTGGAACTCTCTACTTACTTCTCTGACTACTTCTCCATCACTTGCGAAGTTCAGAGCGGATCTCAAGACCCATCTGCTTGCAAAATTCATTGAGGAGCGCTGTTGAACATCGCGGAAATAGCGCTTTATAAGCTAATTGATTGATTGATTGAAAATAAAATATGTCAACCAGTAAAATAGGCGATTGTGAAGAGTTTGTTGAGGTTTTTCACTATGAACTAAAGCTGAAACACAAATTTAAAGACCATACTAACATTTGATAGTTGAATCCTATACAGTTTAAAGAATATAAGATTTCTATTATATTTTCACTTCTAGTTCAATCGATTAGTTTGTAAGGCGATATTTTCGCGATATCCTTTCTAAATTTTTGTAGCCTTTTCGTAGGCAAAGCTTAATTGAACAATTAAAATTTGGTCATCACATATCAAGAGAAAAATAATTTTGTCAATTTAGATGAAATTCGGATTATGTTGATTGACCATTTTGTTGAATGAACAACCTTAATACTTACTTTAAAATAAAATTTACGTTTAACAACATAGAGTGACGTAATGTTTCCTTTTAAATACAATTTTTTTAATTAACCAGTAAAAGGAGCCGGCCATTGAATGATAACAATTTCGCCATGTGGTTGGTGAAAGGAATGTGAGAAATATAGGACATGTTCAAACTTAGGAATGATGTGTGTTTTGTATTTCAATAGTTGAAAATGTTTATTCAGTACATTTTCTTGAAGTTCTGGAGCAGTTAATAGATTTGCCTACATGAAGTTTTTGAATGAAGAGTCTGCAGTTCTAGCCGACGAATTGAAGGGGTCCCTCTTACAAGGAAGGCAGATTATCAATGCACACGTCAAACGAAATGTTATACGGGCTGTCAACAGCCAACGGAGGGCCAAGAGGTCAAGGTGAGGTGGGGGAGCAGGTAGAGGCCAAACTACACAGACGATTCGACATATTTGGATCAGTACTCGCCTGTTAACGAAAGTATATACAGAGGTCGAGGTCACAGAAGGTCGAGGCCACAGAAACTCGAGGTCACGGAAAGGTCAGGTCACGGAAGGTCGAGGTAACAGAAAGTCTATCAGAGATTTCCGTTGTAGTTCTTATTGATACAAATTTTCGGAGTTTATATCGTGCATGAAACTAACTTAACTCCGTGATAATGCGATGTTTCATAAGCATGAATAAGCATGGTATATAACTTATTTAACAAAACCAAATGTTTGAAGGCGTAGATATCATCTAACTTTACCTGATTTACATTTCGAGTTTACGTTACAGGTGGGAGTAAACGATTGGAAGTGTATCGAGACAGTGACGAAAGTGCAACACCTTTTCATTTTCATTCTCGTTGACAATTTTTGCTGAAAACGTGATTTTAAAAATGGAATAAGCAATAAAAAAATAAACAACTTTAAAAAACCATCGTTGCTCGTCGATTTGAAAGAAAATAAATATAACCAGGGCATCTACAGTTCAAAGTGCGCTCCCAGGCGATTGTATCTACCAAATAATTTTCTTCATCCACTAAATTCTCATGTATATCATTTTGAATGTTGATTTTTTTTTTAAAGGAATAATTTATCACTAATAAAAAAAACTGAAATTTAAAAAACATCCATAAATGAATAGAATGATTTTGTGATTTAAAAAAAAATAAACTTATTAAAAACACCGCAAACTAAAACGTAATGTTGATAAAATTTAAAAAAATTTTCTGAAATTTTGTAGCCAGATTTGGCTGAATTACAAATTATTTAAAAATTTAATTTAAAAAAATATACTGACAATTTACTGTGATTATTGCCCCACACGAGAATAATGTTATTAATAATTAATTTGATAAATAATAATAAATTTACAGAATGTTACGATGACGTGGTTTTGACTCCAAAAAAAATTGTTTAGCGCTTCAAGTACTTTATAAAGTTTAACATGTAACAATGAACTCCGAGATTAAAAATGAATATTAAAGAAATACATACATTCGTTATTTTGTTGAAAACAATTTCTTACAATATCTTGAAACACACTTTCGTATGTATATAAAAGTACATAAGTAGGCCTATAAAGGTATAACACTTTGCAGTATATTTCGTGTATAAGAGTCTATTTTGCAAAATTTTAAAAATTGTCGGTATTCTATTATTATAATTGAAAACCAGGTCCAAATGAATTACGACGATGTGTGAATTACGACGAACAGCATGAATAGAATTTTTTAAATGATGAAGGTTTTAAAATTTTAAATTCTGCGTAACACTCTTCGATAGGTTACATACATACGTGTTCGAATTTAATAGCGCAAAGGTAATAGCTTTAAAGATCATCACATTTCCCAAGTCTCATAACTGAATGAGATGTTACAATTTGAAATTTTTAACCAAATTCATAAAACACCCATCCTTCATAATCAGTTGCCAATTTTAAAACAATTAATTTACAAACTTTATAAATTGCTCTGTTTACATACGGTAATGGGGATCAGTTTAGTGAGAATTATTTAATATGATTGAGGTATATACATATTCATGATAAACACATGATCTATGTATCTACTTCCAAAGAGTATAAAATATGGATGTCTGTTAATTATTAGCAGAATTTCAATGGCAAATTATAAAAGACATTTGCCAATTATGAACATATCCATTGGTTATTTTGATCCATTTTAGCTCTGATTAACTTTGTTTTATCTTTGTTTGAAATTTAAAATTAAAAATATTTGTAACATTTTAAGGAGTTTTACGCGTTGAAAATATTTAAAATGGACATCGAGTTGATATCATCTAGTACTCTTGACGGAGAAATAAATGGAAATGAACAATTTAAAGTAAGTTTTTTTTATCCATTCTGTTTTTGTCTGTTTGGTTTTTTGTAAATTTGTGAGTGAAGTGAATAATTTGAAAGTAAAATTATTAGTTTAAATGTGGTAAATACGACAATTTGTTTCGCATTTTACTATTTTACCGAAGAAGTCTTATCATCAAATTTATTTACTTTTTGGCTTT